CTTTCCCTCGCACACACGGCCCCCCGTGCACCCACCTGTCTGCAGGTCCCGCGCAGCTCTGCTCGCTCCACACAAACCTCTTCAGCATGTCCGAGCAGCAGTACTGGTCATCACAGGTGCCACAGCAGAAGTCAGGACAGGACACGGGGGACAGGTCGTGGCCACGGAACGCCACGCACACCTCACCACGGGCTAGGGCAGGACAGACCTGTTCACCTGTGGCCTGCAGGGCCAGTCCCCTGCACCTCCTCCAGAGCAGCCAGCGGGCACAGGTCAGCCATCTCTGAGCCATTCTGGTCACTGGCCACCTCTCCACCCCGGCCACAGCTCCAGCCCACTTTGCCCTCTACCAGGCCACAGTGGAGGTGTCCTAGGTAGGGTCCCCCCTCTGTACCAGCCCGCTGGCCTCTTATGGGAGTGAGGTGGGCTCCCCTCTGCACCCCATCCTCTCAGCTGGCCCTCTGATGGGAGGTGAGCTTCCCTGTGACAGTAGCTGGGCCACACCCGGCTCTCACCTCCCGGGTTCCACCCCTCGGGATTGAGCCTCGGGGGCCAGATGGTACCCAGGGGTACAGACCGGAAGTCTGTGGCCCCAACATGGGAAGGTTCCGGGTGCAAGTACAGAGACTCCCGAGTACACCAGGCACACATGTACCCGTGACCGGGATGTGGTGGCCGGGGGGACTGTGGCATTAGGACCCTATGGGGGTCCCATCTCTCTCTTTCTCCGTCTATCCCTCTCTCTCATTCAGGGAAGAATAAAAACTTTTTGAAAAGACCAAGCCCAGCGTCCTTGAAGCAGGATCGGAACTGCGGACCGCCTCAAAGACCACTCCAGCTTTCCAGCCCTGCCACGGGTTACTCTCCCCCACTCCCTCCTGACCCCGTTCCCTGCCTCCTCTCAACATCTTTGAAGGCCTAGCTCCAGGCCCCTCCTCCAGAAGCTGCCCAAGGCCAGCGGTCACACCCACAGTCACACCTCTGAACGGCTCCAAGCCACCTGGCAGGGACCAGGCTGTGAGCCCTGCAGTCCCAGCCTCATTCGGTCACTGAGTCCCAGCAGCCTCACCAGACCTGTCACACCAGGCCCCCTGGGGCCACTTTGTAGCCAGACAGGGTGGGCGTGCCCGGCGGCCAGGGCTCCCAGGCAGTGGTCCATCACAAGGCTGTCAGGCGGAGCTGGGCCTGGCAACCTCCTTACCAGCCTCAATGCACCAGGTCGTGCTGAGGGAACTGGCTGACAGGAAGTACCAAAAACAGGTCAGCAGGTGGCACAGTGGGTAAAGCACTGGACTTCAACATGTTGCCTGAGGTTCAAGTCCCAGACCTGGGACTTTTTCTCTCTCTTATCAAATTAAAAAATAATAATAATGATGAATAAAATAAAATAATTATTAAAAAAAAAAGTGCTGGGAACCAGCAGTTAGCGTGATGGCTATGTCGCTGGACTCCCACGTAGTTTACCGCAGTTCGCGTCCCGGACCCAGTGGCTTAAAACTCACGCCGGGCGCATGTGCGTGCGTGCCCAAGATCCCAAGAGGAGAATGGAGGAGAAGGGATTGCGGTGTGACCACCCCCCCGGGGGGTGATTTCTCGCTTTCTGTCTCTATGTCTCTCTCTGTCTGGTGAGCGCACGTGCCCTATAGCGAAAAACCTCTCCAAAA